ACATTTAATGGAAGTTCAATGTATTAGAGAAGAAAACAGACAACTAAAAAAATCGCGAAAAACTATGGCAAAAACAATGCTAAATATCAAACAGAGATTTAGAAAAACTATATAACAAAAAAACAAATAAACGAAGTATGAGATGACAACAACACTAACTTGAATTGGGAAATAAACCACTAGAAAGGGGTCAAGACAGGGCTTGATCTTAACAGGAATCAGCAAAGTCAAACACAAGATCAGTTTGAATTATTGAGAAGAAAGACCAAAAAGAAAGCATATAAGAGAAAAGTAAGAAAGCCTACGTGGACTAAGGATACTATAATCACTGGATACTATGCATTATTGGCCAGGAAGTGAGAAGGGAGGAATGCTGGAAGAGATTTTAGAAGAAATTATGGGCTGAAACTCTGCAAATGTTAGGAAGAAAATAAAAAAACAAATTGAAGAAGGACTATAGGCTCCACTAGGATGAACTGAAAGAGTCATTACAAGATATATATGAGACTCAGACAATGACATTATAATCAAATTGTCAAAGTCAGTCTTGCTATCTCATTATGGTCTGTTCAATTTTGTTTCTTCCTGATTTCAATCTTCAGTAGGTTGTATGTTTTCCAGAATATTTATCCATTTCCTGTAAGTTATCCAGTTTCTCAGCATGGTTGTCCTCTTTATTTCTCGATTGTTTTTTGGGTCATTTCTTGGTTAGTCTAGTTAGCAGTTTGTCAACTTTATTTATCTTTCAAAGAACCAACTTTTAATTTCATTGGTCCTTTGTATTTTATTTTTTTTAGTCTCTATTTCATTTAGATATCTATTCTGATCTTTATTAAAGTTTGTTTTTGGTCTATCATATAATCTATCTTGGAAAATGGTTTGTTGTTTTTTTTTATTTGTTTGTTTTGAGACAGAGTCTCACTCTGTTGCCCGGGCTATAGTGCCATGGCATCACAGCAACCTCAACTCCTGGCTCAAGCCATCCTCCTTCCTCAGCCTCTCAGTAGCTGGGACTACAGGATGTGCCCAACGCTGGCTAATTTTTCTATATTTTAGTTGTCTAGCTAATTTTTTTTTTATTTTAGTAGAGATAAGGTCTTGCTCTTGCTCAGGCTGTTTCAAATGCCTGACCTCAAGCAATCCTCCTGCTTGCCACAAAAGGCTAGAATTACAAGCATGAGCCACCATGCCAGCCAGAAAATGTTTTCATGCACTTGAGAAGATGTATATTCTTCTCTGTTGGTGAATATTCCAATAGATGTCTGTTAGGTCTAGTTGTCTGTAAACCAACTATCTATTTCCTTGATCTTCAGCCTAGTTGCTACCATTATTGTAAGGTAGCGCAAGTGAATTTCGTTGTTGTTGAATTGTCTATTTCTCCCTTAAGTTCTATCAGCTTTGCCTCACATATTTTATTAGGAGCATATATGTTCTGCTATTAGGTGCAATATGTTATAATTTGTATACGTTCTGGTGTATTGCCATTATTACTTTCATTATAGATATCCCTCTTTATCTCTGAAACATGTCTTAAAGTCTCTTTTTTGTTTTAGTGTAGACATTCCAGCTTTCTTGGGTTGCTATTGATTAATATTCTTTTCATGCTTTTATTTTCATATATGTGTCTCTATATTGAATATGAAGTTTTGTCTCCTATAGACAGATATATTTGGATGTTTTTATCCAGGCTGAAATATCTCTGCCTTTTCTATTGGAAGAATACATTCACCTTTAACATCACTATCAATATAGTTGGATTTATGTCATTTACTTATGTTTTCTATGTGCCTCATATTTTTTGTTCCTCCATTCCTCTTGTACTGCTTTCTTTTACATTAAGTGAATATTTTTTTCTAATGCAACTATTAAATGTCTTTAAAGATTTCTTCATTATATGTGAATTATCTATTATTGTTGCTCTATGACTTACCAGATACATTTTAAATATCAAAATCAGATTAGATTTATACTAACTTAATTCAAGTGCTAATATGGAAGCCTTACTCTTATACAGCTTTAGTCCTTTCCTCCTGTCTGTGGCCTATATTGGAAATTACACATTAAGTGCTAAAAATGCAATAATTTTTGTGTAATTATTACTGTACATGTTTTTATATCTCTTAAAATTGAGAGAAGAAAAAAGAGCAGTATTTATAGTTTTTATATAGTACCTTTCTTATTATCTTCTGTCTCTCTTTTTTTCTTTTCTTAGATTTGCGTTTGCCCTCTGGGGTCATTTCTTTAGCTAATACAGCCTCTTGCTCCCACCTATTTCTTTATGTTGTTATTGGCAATATGTTAATTTCTATATGTTACAGGCTTGACAATACAACATATACATTTTGTTTATACATTGCTTTTTAAATCAATTAAAAAGAAAAGAGAAGAAATTACACTATACTGTCTTTATAATTGCTGTATTACCTTTTCAGTCCTTGTCTTCCTTTTTTGTTTTTACTTGCTTTCAACTGAAGAATTTCTTTAGTATTTTTTTAAAATAGGTCTGCCAGCAGCAAATTCTCTTAGTTTTTTTTTTTTATCTTGGAATTCTTTCTTTTTCTCATTTTAAGGATAGCTTTCCTGGATATAGGATTCTTAGATGAACAGTTTTTTTTTCTTTGAGCACTTTGAATATGTTGTCCCATTGTCTTCTGCTCCAGTTCTGTGAAAAGTCAGCTGTTAATTTATTATAATGATGAGTCATTTTTCTTGGTCTGTTTTGAATTTTTCCTTGTCTTGCCTCAGCATTTTCTAGGAATTAATGTTCCTGTTGTGAGTCTCTTTGGGTTTATATATTGACAGCAGGACTTTGGCTTTTTGTCCCTTTCCTTGTTGACCTGCATGAGCACAGTTTATGTGCCAATTAATGTGATTAAATAGAATCAAAATATTTGGGACTCATTTCATTCTGTTGGTGTACTTGTAACAGTCCATGCCTCTTAGGAACCAAGCCACACAGCAAGGAGGTGAGCAGTGGTGTGAGCGAGCGAAGCTTCATCTGTAATTACAGCTGCTCCCATCACTCGCGTCCCCACAGAAGTCACCTTCCTACCAGATCCGCAGTGGCATGAGATTCTTCATAGAGAACAAACCCTACCATAAATGTGCATGAGGATCTAGATTGTACACTCCTCATGAGAATCTAATGCCTGATGATCTGAGGTGAGTTGAGGTCGTGATGGGGAACAGCTGCAAATACAGATTATCATTAGCAGAGAGGTTTGACTGCATGGTAAATGTAATGTGCTTGAATCATCCTAAAACCATCCTCTCCCCCCACCCCCGGTCCATGGAAAAATTGTCTTCCAGTGAAACCAGTCCCTGGTGCCAAAAAGGTTGGGACTGCTGCTCTAAGTTGCAATGTTTCATCTATCTCACTAACTACTCATTGTTTCCAGACACTCGGTAAGAAGAGCCTGAGTTCTGATCCCTGCTCCTCCCTTTCAGGGAAGAAAGACAAAAGTGAAATGGAATAAGAGATTACAAAGGTATATCTGCTCTCTGCGTATGGGTTCCAGGAACCCAGGCATGGGGGGGAAGGAACAGGGCCTGAGCACCTGCAAACAAAATTGGCCAACCTGCTACTCTGCCCTCAGGGAGGGGTGGTTATCTATGTTGGCTGTATGATCAGAGAAACCCAACATTTCTTTCAATGCCTTAGGGCTGGACCAGGGGCAGGTGAGGTAATTATGAAAAGATTCTACCTTTTGTTCCAAGTGGCCAAGAGAAGGTGAGCAACTTGGCTCTGGAAACTTTGTGTTCTTTCTGCCTGCCGCCAGGACATGCTATGACCTACCTGCAAACAAGTTCAAGTACGAGCTCTGTCAGGTGAGATCTGGGTAGGGGGCTGCCAGGAATATAAGCAGCAGGCACCAGGAAGCAAAAATGCCCTGCTTCGGCCTTTGAACACTATCCTAACCGCTTGCTCAGCCACGAAGGTGACCCTGGCTTTCCTGTTGCTCTCAGTGGAACTCTTCTCTTCGTGAGTGTTGTCGGTGGTCAAACATCCCTGGAGCCAGGATAAGTGCCACCTGCAGGATGGATATGCAGTCTTTTACTTCTAAGGAAATGGTCTTAGGTCAGTTGTTGGCTTGGAGAAATAAATCCAAGCTTTTCATTACTCAGTCCATTAATCAGTTTTAGAGAATTTCTCATAACCAATTTTTTTTTTTGGAGACAGAGTCTCACTCTGTTGCCCAGGCTATGTGAGTGCCTGGCGTCAGCCTAGCCACAGCAACCTCAAACTCCTGGGCTCAAGCAATCCTGCTGCCTCAGCCTCCCGAGTAGCTGGGAACTACAGGCATGTGCCACATGCCCGGCTAATTTTTTCTTATATATTAGTTGGCCAATTAATTTTCTTCTATTATAGTAGAGATGGTCTCGCTCTTGCTTAGGCTGGTTTCGAACTCCTGACCTTGAGCGATCCTCCTGCTCGCCTCCCAGAGTGGGGTCTCGCTCTTGCTCAGGCTGGTTTCGAACTCCTGACCTCGAGCAATCCACCCGCCTTGGCCTCCCAGAGTGCTAGGATTACAGGCGTAAGCCACCGCGCCCGGCCAATATTTTTAAAAGCCAAAATTAATACCCAAATCCATGATGAATAAAAATCGAAATTTTAATCAAGATGGGATCCACCCTGCTTGCACGCCTCACCTCATGGGCCCTGCACGCCCGAGTGAGGTTAGAGTGAGCCCGGGCCCAGAGGAGCCCGGCCGTGGCCAGCAGGGCCCAGCGTGGACAGGAGGACTGGCGTGGGAACAAGGACTCTGAGCACGACTTCAAGTCAGAACCTCAGAGAGGGTCTCGTGGGCAGGTGGTGAGATGAGGGGAGGGACAGCACCTTCCAGAGGGAGGCCCAAGGCTTGGGGGGCCAAGTGAGGAAGAAAGTCCCTCCCCGAATCCTTCCCTGCCTGTCTGGGTCTGCCCCCAACAAGCACCCTGACATGGGAGGCCCTGAAAGCCTCTGTTTTTATGGGAGAAAAGAAAGGAACTTTAGTGCTTTGCAGTTAGTTTATTGAAATTAAAGTGTATGTGAGGTTTCAACAATTGTCTTGCAGTTTCCACTTACAAGAGCAAAGGAAGAAGGAAAATTGTGGTTTCTAGCAATCAGAAGTTGGGTTCTGACCATAGTCCGTCTGCAGTGTCTGAGCCAAAGGTCTTGTGGAAAGTTAAAAGGGTTTGCACCAAGGGCTGTCGTATATTATTTGCTAGAAAACAAAAACAGACATATCACTTAGATTTTCAATTCTCTCTTGCAAAGTCAAATATTGAAATCCAGAAAGCTTTTTTCTTGTTGTTTTCCTACATTTGTCCACAAACATCTAACTCCCAAGGAAATTAGCACTGGGCACAAAATCAGAAGTATCTTATTAATAACTAAGAGGTGCTGATATTTCTGGATATTTTCCCTATCGGGGACTCCTTTAACAATGGTTTCCTCCAAGATCTCTGTTCTTTGAAATAATTTATCCAATAAATATGCTGCATATACTATTTGTTGAAGACCTGCCAATTTAAACTGTTTCTGATACCACTTTTCAACACAAAATTGTTAAAATCTCAGCTCACATACAATGTGATGGTTTTGAGTTCTTGCATGGTCTTAAAAGTTAGAAATATTTTAACAGATTGAGATTCTCCACCATTACCTTTGAGTACTACAGATTCTTGGAGCTCTACACTAAAAACGATTGACATATTTTGGTTTAAAACAAAAAATGCAGGCGGGGAGCAGTGGCTCACACCTGTAATCCTAGCACTCTGGGAGGCCGAGGTGGGTGGATTGCTCGAGGTCAGGAGTTCGAAACCAGCCTGAGCATGAGTGAGACCCCGTCTCTAATATAAATACAAAGAAATTAATTGGCCAACTAATATATATAGAAAAAATTAGCCAGGCATGGCTATAGTCCCAGCTACTCGGGAGGCTGAGGCAGAAGGATCGCTTGATTGAGCCCAGGAGTTTGAGGTTGCTGTGAGCTAGGCTGACGCCACGGCACTCACTCTAGCCTGGGCAACAAAGTGAGACTCTGTCTCAAAAAAAAAAAAAAAAAGCCTGGATCACATCACGGACTTTTTCATAAATCTGCTCTATGACATTTAACTCTCGTCACCCAAATTCCTCAGGTATTACACGGGTGCGATCATAACTTCCTTATAGGTACGTCATGACTAGACAATCCATGGGAGAAGCCGTATACATTTACAAGTCTTTATAAAACAATACTTTTATGATACTTATTATGGTAGATAGAATAATCACCCACCCCCACACGTTCATGTCCTTAGCCCCAGAACCTATTAATATGTCGGTTACATGGCAAGGGGAAATTACAGTTATAAATTTAAGGCCAGCTAGCTCACTGACCTGAATCTAAACAGGTTACTGTGGGGATCTTGGTTGGCCCAGCATAACCACTGGGGCTTTACGGTGGAGAGGGGTAAAAAGAGAGGCCCGAGAGACGGCAGGGTGAGAAGGACTCAGCCAATGATGCATCTTGCTTTGAAGACGGCGGAGGGGCCATGAGAAAGGAGTCGATCTCCAGACGCTGAAAAAGGCAAGGAACAGATTCTTCCCCTGAACCTCCAGGAAGCAGGGACCTTGCTGTCACCTTGATTTTAGCCCAGTAAGTTCATGTCAAACTTCTGCAGAATTGTAAATAATAAATGTGTGTGTTTTAAGGCACTAAGTTTGGGGTAATTTGTCACAGTAGCAATAGAAAGCTAAACCCTTATATGATTAATAATATGCCCGCTGCCATTTACGTTTCAGGCATTGTCTGGGCACTTCGTGTCCTCAGTGCAATAATCCCGGTGAGGTGTTATTACCATCTTCCTTTTACGAATGAAACCGAATAGACACTATTAACCTGGCCGAATTTGCAACAGGTTTGAGGCAGAATATCATGCTTTTAACCCCCTCAATTTAATATATTTCCATCTTCTTAGATGAATGTTAGATATTGTTTTTCTTGTTATGAGTAGTAGAACAAGTTTAAGGCCGGGTGCGGTGGCTCACGCCTGTAATCCTAGCACTCTGGGAGGCCGAGGCGGAGGATCCTCAAGGTAAGGAGTTGAAACCAGCCTGAGCAAGAGTGAGACCCTCTCTACTATAAATAGAAAGAAATTAATTGGCCAACTAATAATATATAGAAAAAATTAGCCGGCATGGTGGCACATGCCTGTAGTCCCAGCTACTCGGGAGGCTGAGGCAGCAGGATTGCTTGAGCCCAGGAGTTTGAGGTTGCTGTGAGCTAGGCTGACGCCATGCCACTCACTCTAGCCTGGGCAACAGAGTGAGACTCTGTCTCAGAAAAAAAAAATTGGTTATGAGAAATTCTCTAAAACTGATTAATGGACTGAGTAATGAAAAGCTTGGATTTATTTTCTTCAAGCCAACAACTGACCTAAGACCATTTCCTTAGAAGTAAAAGACTGCATATCCATCCTGCAGGTGGCACTTATCCTGGCTCCAGGGAATGTTTGACCACCGACAACACTCACGGAAGAGAAGAGTTCCACTGAGAGCAACAGGAAAGCCAGGGTCACCTTCGTGGCTGAGCAAGGCAGTTAGGATAGTGTTCAAAGGCCGAAGCAGGGATTTTGCCTTCCTGGTGCCTGCTGCTTATATTCCTGGCAGCCCTACCTCCCCAGATCTCACCTGACAGAGCTCTTACTTGAACTTGTTGCAGGTAGGTTATAGCATGTCCTGGCGGGCAGGCAGAAGAGAACACAAAGTTTCCAGAGCCAAGTTGCTCACCTTCCCTCTGGCCACTTGGAAGCAAAAGGTAGAATCTTTTCATAATTAGCCTCACCTGCCCCTGGTCCAGCCCTAAGGGCATTGAAAGAAATGTTGGGTTTCTCTGATCATACAGCCAACATAGATAACCACTCCCTCCCTGGAGGGCAGAGTAGCAGGTTGGCCAATTCTGTTTGCAGGTGCTCAGGCCCAGTTCCTTCCCCCCAATGCCTGGGTTCCTGGAACCCATACGCAGAGAGCAGATTACCTTTGTAATCTCTTATTCCATTTCACTTTTGTCTTTCTTCCCTGAAATGGAGGAGCAGGGATCAGAACTCAGGTCTTTACCGAGTGTCTGGAAACAACGAGTAGTTAGTGAGATAGATGAAACATTGCAACTTAGAGCAGCAGTCCCCAACCTTTTTGGCACCAGGGACTGGTTTCATGGAAGACAATTTTTCCATGGACCGGGGGTGGGGGAGAGGATGGTTTTAGGATGATTCAAGCACATTACATTTACTATGCAGTCAAACCTCTCTGCTAATGATAATCTGTATTTGCAGCTGTTCCCCATCACGACCTCAACTCACCTCAGATCATCAGGCATTAGATTCTCATGAGGAGTGTACAATCTAGATCCTCATGCACAGTTTATGGTAGGGTTTGTTCTCCTATGAGAATCTCATGCCACTGCTGATCTGGTAGGAGGTGGAGCTTCTGTGGGGACGCGAGTGATGGGGAGCAGCTGTAAATACAGATGAAGCTTCACTCGCTCACCCACTGCTCACCTCCTGCTGTGTGGCTTGGTTCCTAAGAGGCCATGGACTGTTACAAAGCTACACCCAACAGAATGAATGAGTCCCCAAATATTTTGATTCTATTTAATTCACTATTAATTGGGCACATAAACTGTGCTCATGCAGGGTCAACAAGGAAAGGGACAAAAAGCCAAAGTCCCTGCTGTCAATATATAAACCCAAAGAGACTTACAAACAGGAACATTATAGTAAAAATGCTGAAAGCCAAAGACAAGGAGAAAAATTTCAAAAACAGACAAGAAAAATGACTCATCATATATAATAAAATTAACAGCTGACTTTTCACCAGAAACAGTGGAGGCAGAAGACAATGGGACAACATATTCAAAGTGCTGAAAAGAAAAAAAAACTGTCATCCAAGAATCCTATATCCAGGAAAGCTATCACTTAAAAATGAAGAAAAAGTAAAGACATTCCAAGATTTAAAAAAAACTAAGAGAATTTGCTGCTGGCAGACCTATTTTATAAAAAATACTAAAGGAAATTCTTCAGGTTGAAAGCAAGTTAAAAAACAAAAAAGGAAGACAAGGCACTGGAAAAGGTAATTATGCAATTATAAAAGACAGTATAAGTGTGTATTTCTTCTCTTTTCTTCTTTTAATTGATTTAAAAAGCAATTGTATAAAACAAAATGTATATGTTGTATTGTCAAGCCTGTAACATATAGAAATGTAACATATTTGCCAATAACAACATAAAGAAAGTAGGTGGGAGCAAGGCTGTATTAGGCTAAAGAAATGACCCCAGAGGGCAACACAAATCCGTAAGAAAAGAAAAAAAAGAGAGAGACCAGAAAAGATAATAAAAAGGTTACTATATAAAAACTATAAATACTTGCTCTTTTTTCTTCTCTCAATTTCCTTAAGAGATATAAAAACATGTACAGTAATAATTACAACAAAATATTATTGCATTTTTAGCACTTATATGTGTAATTTCCATAACAATAAGGCCACAGACAGGAGGAGAGGGACTAAAGCTGTATAAGAGTAAGGCTTCCATATTACAGAACATGTTCTTACATTTAGGGAAAAAAAAAAAAAAAAAAAAAAGAGTAAGGCTTCCATATTCCACTTGAATTAAGTTAGTATAAATCTAAATCTGATTTTGATATTAAAATGTATCTGGTAAGTCATAGAGCAACAACTAATAAGATAATTCAACAATATAATGAAGAAATCTTTAAAGACATTTAATATTGCATTAGAAAAAAAATATTCACTTAATGTAAAAGAAAGCAGTACAAGAGGAATGGAGGAACAAAAATATATGAGGCACATAGAAAACAATAAGTAAAATGACATAAATCCAACTATATTGATAGTGATGTTAAAGGTGAATGTATTCTTCCAATAGAAAGGCAGAGATATTCAGCCTGGATAAAAACATCCAAATATATGCTGTCTATAGGAGACAAACTTCATATTCAATATAGAGACACATATATTGAAAATAAAAGCATGAAAAAGATATATTAATCAAATAGCAACCCCAAGAAAGCTGGAATGTCTACACTAAACACAAAAGAGACTTTAAGACAATGTTTTCAGAGATAAAGAGGGATATTCTATAATGATAAAATGGTCAATACACCAGACGTATACAGCAATTATAAACATATTTGCACCTAATAGCAGAACATATATGCTCCTAA